GATAGGAAAGGCTTTACAGGCATGGCAGCGGACTCTGTGCTGTACAGCTTCACTCACTGAAATCCTGTAGAGAGTGGACAGCCATAACAGCAGCCGGGGTTCTGACTGCAGCCAGCCAATAAAATGCTCCTCAGTCACACATGTACTGATTATCTGAGAGAAAAACAGTATTGTTTGTTGTTTTGTTTGAATAAAAGATTCTGCTATATCCTGGATTTTCAAACTTTTGTTGCCATGGACCACCAAAAAAATCTGGAATAATAAAGTTTGGAATAATTAATTAAAGGTGCAGTAGGAGATCTTGGGAAATGCTAACTTTAGCCTGATAGCACTGAAACTGAACGTCCCACCCTCCCTGCAATCGCCGTCCAAAGCCAGTGAGTGCCCTGGGAAGTGTACATCACCGGATATTCCGCCATGATTCCAGTTTGAAGCGAGCGTATAAGTTCCATACAAAGGGCATAAAAGTGTGCGAGACGTGAATTTAAATTGTATTTATTTACAGAGGTATATTATGTCACACTTCTCTAGTAAGTTTCATCTGTGTGTGAAGACGCTGCGCAGTGCAAATTCGTGAATGAATGTTTCGAAGTGAAGTAAACTTCAACGGATTTCCCCTGCTTCCCTTGCGCGAGGACTGGAATTGGGAACTGCTGGGCTACATCATGTGTCATTCACCGGTGAGAAAACTTTATAGTAAAGGAAGATCGGCTTGTTGATGTTTGTTTGCCATTCTCTTTTTTTTTGTCTGCCATTCTCGCTCTGTCTGCACAGCGTGCGTGAACGTGCTGATGATGTATCTTGTCTGCGCGAACAGGGTGCGCAGAGGTATGCAAATATATATGTTGACAGGCAGGTAGGAAAGCCAATTAAAACGCTCGGACCGAGCGTTTTGATTGGACGAACATTTCTTGGTCCTACACCTTCCACAGAATATATAAATACAGATAAATACATTTAGACCACTCAACTTAATGCTTGCTATCGGGATGTGAAGAGACTTTCAACCAGCATAACAAAAAATAAATAAATAATGTTTCTGAAGACAATCACCTATTGCACCTTTAAATGTTTTAGAAGACGTCTCATTATTTTAATCAAAAAATACAGTAAAAACAGTAATTAGTTAATGGAAAAATATACTGTACCCCATTGAAGCAAGAGGACACTGCAGCTTCAGCAT